CAAATATCGGGTTAAATATCGGTGGGGTGGCCGATGTCCGATATTCAGTTTTAAGGCCGATACCGATAGGGGGCCGATTATATCGTGCATCCCTACTAAAAACTGAAAAATTAGCCCAACTCTATCATCTATGAGGTGGTGCCTTCAGGAGTGTGTTGAAGCAGTACAACGATCTATGGCTATTATGAAGGGAAAAAGCACAAAGAACAAAGTTGGAATTTGAATTTTAAAAGTATTGCAAAATTGGAGAATAGAGGTGAAATGAAGCAGAATGATGAAAGTGACCTGCAGAGGTGTTACTTTACGTAAATATTAATTAATTTGAGGGCCTTTTAATTTTTTGCACTACATTTGAAAAAAAAATGTGTTACAGTGGCTGTTAAATGTCTAACCCACATACAGAGATTCACAGGGGATAAGAATAAGTTAAAAGTTTATTTAACAGTGATAATAAATAAATAAATGTGCAAATTATGAGGCCTGGGGGAAATATGAGGCACAGATTTCTGAGGAAGAGAAAGCGATGGGTAGTAGAAGTCATGGTCAGTCAGGACCATGAAGAGAGCTGGCAGTTTGTTCTGGGCTAAGGGGGTTTAGTGTGGGGTCCCAAGGGTGTGGTGAATGCAAGCTCCCAGTGATGAGTGTGATGAAGAGAGGAAAGGCAGAAAAAAGGGTGGAAGGATTAGGAGCCGTATGGTTCCCAGAAATGATGTCTTGGTTCGGGAGATAAATGTTTCAGCAGCTCCTGCTGGAATAAAAAAAACAAAACAAAAACATCCATAGGGAACACAGGAAACAAAACAGGAAGTTAATTCAATGAAGAAAAGACTCAGGACTTTCAGATGGCTCAGGGTAACCACCTTGGTCAAACTCCTGGCAGAGTCAGCCAGCTCCTAATGTCCTAATGAGCTTTGGGTGGCCCCTGAAGGCATCTGTGCAGCAGAGATTCCTGGTGGCAGAAAAACTCGATTCAAACCACCCTACACAAACTCGCAATCTGTTCTTTGACGCTTAACTTTCTCGAAACTGGCTCGTAACTTCTGTATTTATTGATTAAGTCATGACATAACAGCTGCGACAAAAAAAACTGTTTTGAATCTCTCTGTTATGAGTTTGTAGAAAAACCCTGATCATGACAAGGATAAAGACGGGGGACTGGAAAACATTGTAGGTGATGGATCAGAATCTGAAAAAAAAAAAATTTCTCCATTTTTGCTTTGTTAGATTATGCCATTAAACACCTTGATTATGTTTCAAGTTCTATTTCAATTTTATTGTGATTTGCAGACCAGATCTTATGTTTACGCAGGTTTTCTATTCAGTTGGGTCTATATTATCCTGGATCTTAGCATAAAACTAGACAAATCTGTACAGTACTTTTTATTCTCTTTACCAACAGAGAGCAAAAAACAAAAATTTATACATTTTCTCCGCATAGAGCAATTTATTTCTCTTGTTGCAAAAAAAAAAGTATTATTCCTGAAGGCTTCGATTTTGTCTGAAACAAACTTCCAGACCTGACGATGCAGGAGACCGGATTGTGCAGGTCTCCAATGAAGGGTTCTGAGAGTTCAGGTCTGTGCCAAACTTTATTTAAAAAAAAAAAAAAAAAAAGTACATGCAGAATGAGTAATTTTTATTTTTACTTACTCACTAGCACAAGAGTTAGTCTATTCTTAAGAACTTTTGTTCTTTTTACCACTCTGTTCATATGTCTTCCAGCATTCTAAAGCCCTGGTCACACTTCTGTGCGAATTTTTAATAATTTTTTTCCCCATGTCACACTGACTTAAGTGCATATAGAGATAATCCTACAACGCAGGGTGAGCAGATCCAGATCTGTTCAGAATTTATTAATTTATTATTTATTTTTTTTTACTTCTGTCTCTTTTTCCCACAACAAAGTCTGACATTTGACTGGGAAAGATCATAAAAAGGAAAAAAATGTCGCTAAAATATGGGTTAGCTACAAAGCAACGGCCCACTTCATGACCAGACGTCTGCACAGCATCTCAAACCAGAACAGACAGAGGACTTTAACAGGCTAAAATTAAAAATATAAAGGGAATTAGGTTAAAAGAAAGGTACATTTAGGGCTTTAGGATGGTTAATGTGCAGTTGACCTTTTATTTAGTGTTTGCTCCCTAAGCAGATGTGTTTTATTCTGTAACCACGCCTCTCTTTTTGTCAGCCCCATTAAATTGTTACCAATTGCTGAGTAGTCTTACTAAAATAGACCTGGGGTCCATCTCAATCAGAGCTACGCAGTCCCTTGCAGAAAACCGTGCCAGGTGTGTCAGATGAAACACGGTAAGGCAAAAATATACGAAGGCTTGAAATGGAATAAAAATTTGTTCGCCTCATCAGGGTAATGTAGTAAAACATTTTCATAAAGAATTTGAGTTGGTGGGTCATATGATTTGGAAGCTATTGAAGAAAGATTAATTTTTTTAATTATAGAAAATATTTAAAAATGAACAAAGGCTAAAAATTGAATAGAAATGAGTGTGTCTCATCAAGCTAATGTAGTAAAACATACCCCTATTGAAGAAAAGTCCCAACTTTTGTAGTTAGAAATATCTTAAAAATTTAAAATAGCTTAAAATTGCATAAAAGCAAGTGTGACTTACATCTGTTTTCTATTGGCATGATTTTATATAAATATCGTCTTGCCTGGTCATAAGATAAGGAATTGTTTGATTTTTGTTTCTCAAGAGTGCTTGGTTCAAAGATTTGTTGACGGTCCCTAACTGCACCACCGCTTGTGGGAGAGGAGGGAGCAGCTGTGAGATGCTGGCCGACATCGGAGGCCCTCATTCGGATAAACTGTTTGCGAGATCCCGCTGACTCCATAGAGCTAGAATATCCAACTTCAAACCCACTTCACAGCGGTGCTGACGGCTCGGTTCTGCTGCACTGTAGTCGACCAAAATCCCAGACGATTTTCAAATTCCCCCTGGACATTTTTTTTGGTATGAAAAGTAGGAGATGTCCGGGAAAAAGATGGCGTCTGGTCACCCTAGGAGATGGGCACCAGCACCCCTTGCTACCCCGCTTGACAAAAAATGGATGGAAATGGTGAACACAAATATGTCAGATTAATATGTTTTACCCCAGCCTAATGGTGTTACCTTAATTCCTACAAAATATTCAAATCTTTCTAAAAGAATATTATGATCAACTCTATGAAATGCAGCACCAGAGATCTAACAGGACAAGTACAGATATAAGTCCATTATTTGAGGCCATTAGAATATCATTAGTGACATTCACCAGAGCTGTTTCAGTGCTATGATGAACTCTAAAACCAGGTCATTATGGTGTAACTGTTCACACACTTTTTTGGCAACTATATATCTCTTAGATCAAAGAGAAAGATTCGACATAGGTCCATAACTGACCAAGTCATCTGGGTCAAGAGATGGTTTCTTAAGTAAATGTTTAATTACAGCAACCTTAAAAACCTGAGGCACATATCCCTGTAATAGGAATAGGGTAATCATATCTAAAATGGAGATGTAGCTCAGAGGGGATTCTTCCCTAGATAACCTCGCTGAAACTGGATCTAACATTCCAGTTTCAAGGCTTAGATGAAGATAATAGTTTAGCTAACTGTGAGTGGGTAACAGTAGAGAAGCTGCAGAGAGGTATGTTAAACTACGACTCTGCTTCCTGTTCTGAACCTAGGTTGTCAGGGTTTTGTAGCCTCGTGAGACCATCCTGATCTCGCAAGCTTTCAAGATTTCACTCGCGAATCAGTCTGGAGAATCTCTGTTGAAGAAAATTTGGAGCCGTTCACCAAACGAACGTCCAATCAGCGTTGGCTTTGAGGCGGGTTGAGGTGTGACGCAACGAGAAGCGCAACAGTTCAGTCTAAAGAACATGGCGGCTTCAGCCGATGAAACTAGTGTTAGCGTGGCTATCGAGCAAGTTTTATGGGAATTACAGAGTATTTCTTCACTAAAAGAAGAGCAAAACACTGCTCTGGAGGCTTTTCTCAGAGGAAAAGATGTTTTTGCTCTTCTCCCGACTGGTTTCGGCAAGAGTAGCCTGGCTTGTGGTTGTGTTTTCGTCGTCGGTCTGTCAGTACGTCATATGCTTCGTTGATCTGATTGGTTTATTTGGCCCGTCTATCACCAACATAGGCCAATCAGCTAACCAGTATTTTCGCCCCTTCCCAAAATTACTGCAACGGAAGGTTTCCAGAGGGATACGCGGAGTAAATCCATCTGGCGGAGTCAGGTTAAGGGTTTTGCACTGGAAAAACAATCTAGAAATAAGTAAAAATGTCTTAAATTAAGTGTATTTAACCTTAATTTGAGTAGGTAATTGAGATAGTTTGCCAATGGAATGAGTATTTTTACTCTTAAAATAAAATAATTAGATAATATGTACTTGAAAAAAGACAATGCAATTGTGTTTTCTTATTTTAAGTGTAAATCGTCTTGTTCCATTGGGAAAATGTCTCTTTTACTTCCTCAATCCAAGAACAAATGCATTTATATTAAGAAAAAATGACTTATCTAGATTTGGATTTTTCCAGTGTGGAGGGCTTTCACATACCTTCTGATGCATAACCAAGTAGAAACTCATCAAATCACACTACTTTGATTATTCAAGGGATTTTGTTTTTAAAGTCGGTGAAGTTATCTCAAAGCTCCTTTGAGGGCATTGTAAGGTATTGAACTGTTTCATATTGGCAACAAAAGACCTTGTTAAAATGACACAGAACAAGGTTGTGTCGGACAGACCACTGAGTGGCCAAGGGGAAGGAGGAAGCAGCAGCATACTAATTTGCTCTTATACAGTACATGTATATCGTAAGTATTTGAGAGGAGTAAAGGGAATGTCAGGTAAAGTCCTTGGATGTTTCCTATGAAGAACAAATAAATAAATATAGCTCTGTGTTGCTTAATCTAAGCACATGGAAATTTGTTTTCTTTATAAGTAAAGACCAAACATTAAGATGATGATAACAACATTCTGCTTTTTTTCTATAGGTTCACTGAATTTCTGGAACCCTTTGAGAGAGTTATTCAACCGGAGGAGCTTTGGCTCTACAAGAATCCTCTGGTGGAGTCCGACCATATTCCTAAAAGGGTTATGTTTGTAAGTTTCCCATAATTAAATTCTCATGCTTTAAATTACCACCTAATGTCTTTGTAGTTAATGACTTTGTTTGAAACAAAAAAGAAATTGTCATTACTGTTGCTGATTTGTTTAAAATGTTTTGACATAAAAAGTACATAAATACTATAACTGATCCAAAATAAGTCAAAACAGCCCTTTTTTAATTTAAGTACTTTATACCCTAAACAAAAAGAGTGAAAAACTGCTTTCTGCATAGAGTTGCTTTTATATATTCATTTTCAAATCCAAAGTATCAATCGTGAAAAATGCTGGAGTTAACAAAATTAGATTTGAAAAGAGATGCATTAATGAATGCATATAACATATACAAAACAACTTCTCTAATGAGTCGATATCACTTAAAAAAATATGGTTTTTTTGTTTTGGAAATTGTTTCATTATCGGTTCCAGGATAATAATAATATTCAGGTAAGTTACACTGGTAAGGCTCAGACTCTATGGCCCAAAAAAGACCAGACCAATCGCTGGAATGGAGGTGGGACTTTATTTTTGCACCAGAATTATCACTTTTCTGTAACCATAACAGTCAAGATTACAGCCATAATGGAGCAATGTTTTAATAATGGCCTTAATAAATGTTTGATAACTTCTATTATTGATGAGGCTCAAGACAAACCATCTCACATATTAACCATCAAAGGGGACTTTATTATCATCCAATTACTTTTAGAGCTTCTTGAGTTTGAAGTGAAAGCTAAGAGATTAAGCAGCCGAACGTCCAGATTGAAAACTTATAGTGTCATGATGGGTCTCTGTGATTAAACCCACATGCAGAACACCACAGGAAACAGAGTAAAAGTTAAACAGTTTATTGAGGAGAACACACACACAGAGTAAACGTGTGTGTGTGTTCTCCTCAATAAACTGCACTGGTTCTGGTACTGGTCCGGGACTTGGTTTCACAGAGTAATCTGCAGAGAGGGATTGTTTGGTTAGCCAGGTCGCAGTGATGTCTTGACAGAGTTTTGATTCTGATTTGTACCTGATGAGGTTCAGACTGATCGGTGAAGAGAGGGAACCGGTTGGGTCCAGAGACTGTGGTTTCAGCAGAGAGCTCTGCAGCGGTAGAGCTTAGCTTCAGGTTAGCGAGGTTCAGACCTTGAGTTGTTCTCCTAGTTCTCTCCTTAGAACTAACCGGGAGATTCAGACTGAGGATCTTCAGGTTTGGCTTCTCTGGGCAGGCAGGCAGGTTTCCAAACATGAGCTGGTTCCGCTAACCAAAACTGGTCAACACTCCGGCGCTGAAGAGAAGTCAAACCGCTGCTTATATAGTTGGTCTCCTAATAAGGTGAATCAGCCTCAGGTGTGTATGTGGCTTCAGCTCAGGAGACCCAGGGCGCTCTCTGCTGGAGAAAGGTGGCAGATCTCCAGATCCCAACATATAGTTATGAGGGAATCAAGCTCTTTGAATCAAGCTTGTTCTTTGTGCTGATACTCCAGTCCTCAACTTGTATCTGCTTTCTTAATTTCCTGAGGGTAAAACAGCTCTGCATGTTTTCAGTTTTACGGAAAAGCAAACTTTTTTTTTTTAATTCATCTTTCTGGTCAAACTCTGTATAGAAATGTAATGTTAGATATCTTGTGTCAGGCCTCAGAACTGTGGACCCAGAACTTCAAGCAGACAGACAGATGTGATTCGCAAAAGCTTTTATTTATTTTATGTCGGAACTGTGGCGCAGCAGCTAGGGCGTCAAAGGCCGGAATTTCTGTAGAAGGAAAACTCAGGTTAGTGATCACATAAATCCAACAGAGGCCGTTTACGAGTGTGTGAGTCACTAACCTGCTTTTAGAGTTAAGTCTGTGGCAAGAAGGAGTAGAATCCAGCCGGATGGCTTCCTACAACACACGGCGGACACCACGCAGAGAGTTCTAGGAGCCAAAGCCCAGAAGACTGCTAAACTGGCTGACTAGCAGATGCCAGCAGACCATGGAAAGCAGGAGTATCCAGAGGGTGAAGCCAAAACCGGTGTTAAAGTGGAAAACAGGAGTCAAGCCCAGAAGACCAGAGATCTGAAGAGCTACCAAAGGAAAATCCAAGTCGAAGTCAGGAGACAGATCCAGGGTCGTCAACAGGTAGAATCCAGCAGGAGTCAGAATCAAGACAGGTCAGGCAAAAAGATCAGAATGGGAACAGGGAGGCTCAAAGGGCAGAACAGGTCCGAATCACTCAATCAGAACAAGAAACTGGGTACCCTAGAGAACTCCCACCAAGTGCTTGGATAATCTGGTACTGATGACTGAGAGCGAACAGCTTAAATAGAGGCAGGAGCAGGTGGATAAGATGAACAGTAATTAAAAACTGGGTGGAGCAAGGAAGGTGAGTGGAATGAACCATTAATCCAGTCATCAGTGCCAAGATCCTGACACTTTGACAGACTGGTTACATTGGCTTTTACGTGATTTTATGCTAAAAGAAATACAAAGAAAAGTAGAAGCATACCGCGCAACTACGTAGCTGTCCAAATTATTATTTTACTCACCTCTTTGTGAACTGGGAGATTCCATTATTCCTCACACATTGTTCACCTTATATGCACTGAAAAAGCTGGAGAGTCAATTATAGCGATCTGTTTTACACTGATGTGTACGGAAGAGGATTAGGGCCACTCAAAAAAAAAAAAGTTAACTGATTTTTAAATTTTATTTCAGTTTAACATGGGAAAAAGTCAGAATTCTGACTTTTTTCTCAGAATTCTGACTTTAATCTCAGAATTCTGACTTTAATCTCAGAATTCTCTGTTTTTTCTTAGAATTCTGACTTTTTTCTCAGAATTCTGACTTTAATCTCAGAATTCTCTGTTTTTTCTTAGAATTCTGACTTTTTTCTCAGAATTCTGACTTTTTTCTCAGAATTCTGACTTTCTTCTCAGAATTCAGTCAGAATTCTGAGAAGAAAGTCAGAATTCTGAGAAAAAAGTCAGAATTCTGACTTTAATCTCAGAATTCTGAGAAAAAAGTCAGAATTTTGAGATGAAAGTCAGAATTCTGACTTTTTTCCCATACTATACTGAAATAAAATTAAAAAAAATCTTTTACCTTTTCTTTTTTTTTCAGTGGCCCTAATTCTCTTCCGTAGATGTGACAGCTTTGAATATGGAATACTTTCTACATACTTTCTACATACATTAAGGAAACCATGTGGTAGGAGAATGATTTTTTTTTTGCATCTTTTTACAGTGTTTAAAACCAATCAGTGAGTAAAGTGAGTGAAGCCATCAAAGTCTCATTAAAAGCTGCTTTGTGGAAAGGAGAACAAAAAAGCCGTAAGTGAGTAACTACGAAATTATGCAACAGGTATTTCAATCAGCATGTTAATGTGAATTAGTGTTTTTTTTTTTTTTAGCACTGACAACCCAATAAGGAACATACCGGTACCTGAAAAAAAAAAAACTGCAAAAAAGGCCAATCATTAGCAGGGTTAGTTATGCTTAGACACAAACCATGCTCTATTTTTCTTATTCCCTTTGTGCTTTAGACAACATTGACAGTCTTTTCACTCAATCAGGAAGTGAAAGAAACACTCTTACTCTACAGCAACATCCCTTCCAGAAATACTGTCCAAGTCATGTCAGCTAGGTCACTCTATTTTAGTTTCTACTCTCACCAGCAGCCCTGAAGCTTTGGAGACATTATCTGGCCATTGAGACGAGTACATTTGTAAGGCTGACATGATGATACATTATGACTCTTTATGACCCCCATTAGAATGCATGCAGCCGAAGTCTAAAAGGCCTCCCCAGGCATCATTGTTGGACTTTTAAAAATTTTCTTTTGTTTAATCACTTCTATCTCCCCAACAGTCATTTACTGTCGGCGAATTGTGATAAGGGGATCAAAGAGCAGAAAGAGAAAATGTTTTCTATGTTTTGTCTTTTTGTATTTAACTTTAAATTTTGTGACTTTAATATTTTTACTTTTCTCTGTAGCACATCGAGCTACTTAGATAAAGTGCACTATAAATATTTAGCACTATCACTGTTATTATTTTTAAATGGATATTTTCATTTGTACATCCAACTACATAACAGGACTTTATCTTTTTAATAAACTGTGTGTAGCACACGCAATCTGCCTAACTAATATGGCAGGACCAAAACAGATTGAACCCCAAATAGACCGACACATTTGCATGCTGATATCTTTGGCCATTATTACGTTTTCTTTCTAATATCAGCTGATACGTGCCCATCTTGGCTGATTCATTAGTGCATTTTGCAACCATCATGATGTTACAAATTTCAGACCCAAATGCAGAAAACCGAACAGAGAGACCAGGGAAAAGGTTTAACAGGTTTCATTGAAGAAGTTAAGCTGAGGGAGAAGTGTTGCTCTGAACACTGCTCAACCAGAACTGTAAAGTGAGGGGAAGACACAGCGGTTAGTTCAGGCTTAGTGGGGAATTTGACTCGTAAACTTGGAGAAGAGGATTTGGTTGCCGACTCACGTTTCCAGAGAAGTTGTTGAATCCTTGACTCCTGTCTGTGTGCCGCGGTTCCAGTGTTTGTCTGATTCGGTGGAGGGCGAACAGGGTTTACCCAGAATGCGGTTGATAGTTGGTGAACGGAGAAACTGACTGCCACTCAGATTTCCTGCGGTACTTGAACAGGTCGTAGTAGAGAATAATCCCTTTTTCAGCAAGAAGCTCAAACGATTTCTTGTGGAAAGTGGATCCAAACCTCCTGTTTGAACCCCAGCTAAGTTTGAAGCTCAGTTGATCCTTCCAGGGAGTGAAGGTCCGAGAAATCCAGTTTGCAGGATGACCTCCTACCGAGAGGCAGAGACAAAAACAAAGTTAAACTCAGGTTGACAAAGTGCTTAGCTTGGCTAGAGTACCCTAAACTGGCGTCGAAGTAGTGGCAGTCAGCAGCTTAAGAACACTCCGTTTAACGAGGAAACCATCACCAGGTGTGAGAGAAGGCGGACCAGAACCAGGCGCCTCCTGGTGGATGAAGGGAGACAAACACAGAAACACAAAAACAGGAGTCCTGACAGCAACCTTGCCTTGAGATTACAAGGAGTGCATGCATTGCCATTCCCATTCATATGCTAAAAAGTCTTCATGGTTTCTTTGATTTAAAACCATGTTCCTTTTTTTATATATCTGTAAAATTTGTTATGACAATTTAAATTTGTTGAAAATTATGACCAAATATTAATGGGAGTTAATTTATGGTCTTCACTATATAGCAAAACAAGAGTGTTTGTTTTTGTGTGTGTGTCTGCAAGTGTTTTTCTGAGGGAGTGTGGGCAGAAATAAGTTTCCTGGTGGTAATTCATTGTGTTTGAGCTAATTAGTCATCTGAAATTTCCAAATTCTTAGATATGCAAAGAGTATATATTTAGTAAAACTACTGTGTGTGCCTAAAAATTACAAAAGAGAGGCAGACTTGGCTTCTAAAGCACCCAGCAGCAACAGACCAAAGAGGCAGACATACGGCACTGAACACCTTCACCAGCAAGGCCCCCAAACTCCCACTGCAATCCAGCAACATATTGTCATTATCAGTTCGCATGAAATCGTACGAAAAGTTATGCACAGTATTTCGTACGTTTTTGACATTTTTCCTCGAAAAAACATATCATTGCACATGCGCAGCAGGACAGCCGAAAAAAGCAGATCCGCGGACGGACGTAAAACTGGGACGGACAGTGCAATAATTACTTCCTGATGTCTCTCACTAGGTTGCTTGCTGTTTTGTATCTTAGGGTTAGGGTTAGGGTTAATTGTATATTATATTTTATGTTATTGAATGGTGCGTAAGATGCGCATGCACACGGATATCTTGTCTCGAGGCAAGACGTAAAAATAGACGAAATACGAAAAAAAACCCGTCAAAAATGTACGAAATACTGTGTATAACTTTTCGTACGATTTCATACAAACTGATAATGAGAATACACTGAATCCAGCCTGAAACCGGATGATCCTGAACTCCAAACAGCTTTCAACAGCATGATCGTCCAGTAGGACTCCCACAGAACCCCGATCTTCTTCCAGTGTTTATGTATACTGATGCAGTGTTATTGTTGTTTTTGTTTTTCTATAGTGCTGTTATTGGTCTTTGAAGAAAGAGATGTGGAAATATTTCAAAATATGTCAGGAAAACAAAGCCACACAGGGAGGGAGCAAACAGTTGAAGAAAGTAACAAAGTGCATTTACTTGATTAAAGCACTTAAGTACTTTTTTTTTAATGAGTATCTTTTGGGGGGGGGCTACTTATAACTTTCATTCCACAACATTTCAACTTCAAATATTGCACTTTCTACTCCTCTGCTTTCGAAGAAGCTGCTAGTTTCTTGTTCCTTTTGGCTAAGCTTAGCTTTCTAATCCGCTGTTGCTGTTTCTCTTTTTTGAAATGCATATTAGCATGTAAGATAGCAGCCCTTAGGACTGAATTTGGACTCCACTGTTTTAGAGATTTAATAACATTCCAAAGATGTGAGACACACAGGGCAGATATTATCATTTTTATCAAGGCATTCGTTGTTGCCATGTGTCCAAGTTGTTCAGTAGGAGGAGCTCTAAAAGCAGAGTTGTGGTTTCTTTGCGGTAATAGATTAAGCTTTAAACCAATATTCCATATTGAAAGTGTGAAGAGAATCAAAACACCTCTGTTTTCTTTTCTTTTTTTTAATAATGAATAAAGATTAAAATAACTATCCTTGTTTATCTTTTGGTATTTTTATGCTGAAGTTCTTTCCAGGTGGTGTAGAATCTGTAGGTGGTTCTCTGCATCAATACATGAAGTGGTTTCTGAAACTTATGAGGTTCTTTTAAATAACTAATGATATTAGAGAATGTAATTTGTATTTTTAAGTACTTTTAAATGCATGTACTTTTGAATAACTAAGTATTTTCAAAAGTGAGTACTTCAATTCTTTAACTTGAGTATTCAGTTCCAGTTTAGTTATTTGTATAGCACCAATTTGCAACACGTCATCTCAAGGCACTTTCCAGTTCACCAGATCATCCAGTCAAATTGATACATAGTTTTCAATCTAAGGAAAACCAGCTGATTGCATCGACTTATTGAGTCGAAGGCAATCCCTCTCACTAAGCATGCTTGTAGCGACAGTGGAGAGGAAAACTCCCTTTTAACAGGAAGAAACCTCCAACAGAACCAGGCTTAGTGTGAGCGACCATCTGCAGAGGCCGACTAGGGTTCAAGGAGACAGAAGCAGACATAGAAAAAGCAGCTGTAAAACAGCTCCACAGGCGGCCCCATCCAGGAAACGCATAGCAAGGCAGACGAGCTTTGAGTTCTACTCCTGAGCACCTTGTCCACCACTGGCAGCAATTCGTACTCAGACTCCAAGGTAAAATACATTTAGGCTATTGAATTCATCAAGAAATGGAGCTTGTGGTGGACCTTCGCAGAAGCAGATCCGCTTCACTGACATACAGGGAACAGACATTGGGATAGTTGACTATTATAAGTACCTTCGTGTTCATCTGAATAACAAACTGAACTGGACTCCCAACACATCTCTACAAGAAGGGTCAGAGCAGACTCTTTCTGCTGAGGATACTAAGGTCTTTTGGAGGGCAGGGGGCGCTCCTAAAGACCTTCTATGACTCTGTTGTGGCATCAGCCATCTTCTATGGAGCAGTGGCTTATCTGTAGCTGAGAGAAAGCGGCTGGATCAGTTGATCAGGAAGGCCAGCTCTGTGATTGAATGCCATCTAGACCAGGGGTTCTTAACCTTTTCGACCTTGAGGCCCAATTTTTATAGTACAAAGTGGCCCGGGGCCCATTATATATTAACACTGTACAGTTTGATTTGTATTCAATAATAAACCAAATCCACTTATTGCTTAACAAGCAAAAAAATTGTCTAATAAAATGACATGATAAAAGGGGATAATCACAAAAACTTTTATTAAACGTTTACATAAACCTGCACACATACATCAAGACACCGAACAGGCTGATAATTAATGGACCAAATCAAGCTGTGATAAGAAAAAATTTCAAGGATCAAGTCAGGCTTTTTAATCATAATAAAAAAAGACCAATAGTAGGATTTTTACTTTAAATTAATAAAATAAATGATTATATATATATATATATATATATATATATATATATATATATATATATATAGATATATATATATATATATATATATAAGTATAAATAAATCATGAAATCAATAAAAAGGGGGTGATAAAATAAATGCATTCAAATAATATAAATCTATAAATATAAATAAACTAAATGAAATTAAAGTGCAAATGAAACTATAGCCTTATAATCTGCAAAGCCATTGTAAAATTGCTTCAGCAGTCTCCATTTTTGCATGGCAGAACCAGAAAAATCTTTATATCTGTGACAAATGAACAATGACACAAATAATAACAACAATTAACAACAATAATACAACTCCCTTTTATCTTCACCTCTTAATGAGACACTTGGGCCTGCCTCTGAGACATAATCAGATCCAGTCTGGGTGGAATTGGAGAAAGGCTCACTCTCAGAGTAGCCTCCAGAGTTGCTCTGAGTCTGTTTCGGGCTTTGGTCTTAGTTGTGGCCACAATGGAGAATCCTGATTCACACAGGTTACGTAGTTGTGAATGGGAGAAGGAGTTGGTGCATTACTGCCACCACATGGTCGAAAGCTGCACGCAGTCCCACGGCCCTTGCGGCCCACAGGTGCAAAACTGAAAGATTTTTGCAGCCCACAAGGGGGCGCTGGCGGCCCAACTTTGGGCCGCGGCCCTATGGTTAAGAATCACTGGTCTAGACTCAGTGCAGGAGGTGGGAAACAAAAGGATCCCACCCCATGCATGAAGCTGTTGCAGAACTGCAGAGCTCCTTCAGTGACAGACTGCTGCACCCTAAATGCACCAGGGAGCGTTATCACAGATCCTTCCTCCCAGCAGCTGGAAGACTCTAGAACCACCACTGTTCTCAATAACCTCAAATAAGTTGTTACATTCATGCTGATTTTGCACGGTTTTAGTCTTGGTTACTTAAATGACATGCTGCTGTCATTTTGCACGTCTCTGGTATTGTTGCTATTTTCAAATATCCCCTACTGCACAAACGTCTACAGCTGTCTATATTTGTAAAAAGACTGTACAGTACAGTATTTTATTTTGTTTACTTTTTTAACCTTGCAACTTATTTTGTTATTTTTTTTTATACACTTTTAAGGTCCGCATTTGTGTGATCACTTTTCCCGTAATGCTGCTGTAACACCATTATTTGTCTTATTCGATTCATGGATGATTTTGGATACAAACAGGAACCCATGTATGCAAACATGTCAATTCCATCTTTTATTATAAGTGCTCAGCTTGCATTTTATTTGCAATAAACATCATAGTGTCCCTGTTAATCCCGCAAGGATTTGAAGTCTACATTTAAATCACCTGTAACTACAGCAGAATAAAACAGGTATATCCTTAACAAAGTCTACAGCGTAAACTTTTACCTCTGAGCTGAGGATACTCCAGTCTCCCATCAAATTAGATGGAAAAACTCTTAATACTGGCAAAGGGACTCAGTGAACAATAAATAGGATGTTAGGTTAAGGTTGAGGTCACAAGTTAATGCTGGAGTGCTTCGAAAGTTAATCTGTAAAACGGATCCCCTGTATCTCTAATATCTCTGTAATTACTACCATTTTATGTTTTAAATGATTTTTTTTTTCTGCTTCTTACAGGCAATTTCCTTCCTTACGCCACTGGCGGTGATTTTTGTTGTAAAGATTATTCAGCGGACGGACAAGACAGAGATCAAGGAGGCTTGTTTGGGTGCGTAGAGATCTTTCCTTGAATTGTTTTGTGACAGAAAATCATTTTTGTGACAGTTGTAAGAAAGCAGGATTATTTCGATATGCATTTCTTGGGATATGAATGGTTTGGCCTATTATACTGACAGAGTATGTATAATACGAAAAGTCTTCCAACGCAATATTTTATGCCCTAACATTAAAAAGATTTCTTTCATTAAAGTTTTTGCAGCTCAATATCTTTTCCGTCCTTTTTGCTTGGAGCAAACTGGCAATATATAAGTATTTCATTTGGTTTAATGGTGCTAATCTTTAAATGCAGTGACCTTCTGTTTTAGTCGATATGCTATCATGGATATTATTCTTAATCACATAAAATCTATTTACTGATTATTCATTTAAAGCATTTTCTTTCATTCTCAATCATGATCACTTAAGCAAATTTCGTCCTGCTACTTTCCCTTGAGGTTGAGTGCCAGAAAAGGCATTGGAGCTGTAAGGCATTAAGGAAGTTTAACACAAATCCAATTAAAGAGATACACAGTGATGAATCAGGTGGAAAGAGAGGTGGCTCAGTGCAGCAGAGATTACACTGCAGTGGAGGATTTAACAGGCCTGCAGAGAAGGACTTCTACAAGATGTGTGAGAAGCAGAGGGAACTCATGGGAACAAAGAATTACAAGAGTAGGCTATACTGTATTCCTGACAGGTTTCAACAAGATGTGAGAACCGAGGAAGGCACTGCAAAAAAACACCATAACGAGACTGAAAAATTGGACAGAAATTGTTCAGCTTGGACATTTTTTTTTCTTAAAATTTTGATTTTTAAAATACAAACATAATAGTTTTTTCAATAATTATTCTTGGAAATGTGTTGCCTTGAACTGTTCTTCTATATCAGAATCAAAATTCAGATTAAAGGCAAAGACAGAAATAAAAAAATTGTACTCAGTATGTTTAACTTGGATTGTAATGCATATTTATTTCTACTGATATATTTCCATAATTTTCTTCTTATATTCTTCAGTCTTTATTCTACTTTGGGGTACAAAGGAAAACATTTAGAAAATTTGTCTGATAAAAATGGATCATTCAGAAGTCATGCTGCTTAATTATACATTTATTACTGAGTCAGAATATAATGAAGTCCTTTCAAGGTAATATTTCCCACAAGAATGCACTTAAAGAACCAGTGAAATGAGATTCTATAGTGCTTGCTTTAACTGTGATTATGGACTTAATACTTCATCTTTCATCATCTTTATGTGAGGTTGAATAACATTTATCGAGAATATCCTGTAATTGACTTATAATAAAGTTTTTTTTTTTTTATCCGAATACTTTAATGTTACAACTCTTTTATAAAATGAATCACAAATTAACTTTGCTAACTATAAAACACTAATTTTAATGCATTGAAACATCTGCATGGATTTGCTGTTTTTCTGTCCATAATCAGGGTCTTTAGTGTTATTAGGTAGGACTCTATAACCACTGATAAGTGATAACATTGATTATATCTTAATCATTTTTGTTAGTTAGTGGAGTATACACTCACCGGCCACTTTATTAGGTACACCTGTCCAACTGCTCGTTAACACTTAATTTCTAAGCAGCCAATCACATGGCGGCAACTCAGTGCATTTAGGCATGTAGACATGGTCAAGACAATCTCCTGCAGTTCAAAGCGAGCATCAGTATGGGGAAGAAAGGTGATTTGAGTGACTTTGAACGTGGCATGATTGTTGGTGCCAGAAGGGCTGGTCTGAGTATTTCAGAAACTGCTGATCTACTGGGATTTTCACGCACAGCCATCTCTAGGGTTTACAGAGAATGGTCCGAAAAAGAAAAAACATCCAGTGAGCGGCAGTTCTGTGGGCGGAAATGCCTTGTTGATGCCAGAGGTCAGAGAAGAATGGCCAGGCTGGTTCGAGCTGATAGAAGGGCAACAGTGACTCAAATAACCACCCGTTACAACCAAGGTGGGCAGAAGAGCATCTCTGAACGCACAGTACGTCGAACTTTGAGGCAGATGGGCTACAGCAGCAGAAGACCACACCGGGTGCCGCTCCTTTCAGCTAAGAACAGGAAACTGAGGCTACAATTTGCACAAGCTCATGGAAATTGGACAATAGAAGATTGGAAAAACGTTGCCTGGTCTGATGAGTCTCGATTTCTGCTGCAACATTCGGATGGTAGGGTCAGAATTGGGCGTCTACAACATGAAAGCATGGATCCATCCTGCCTTGTATCAACGGTTCAGGCTGGTGGTGGTGGTGTCATGGTGTGGGGAATATTTTCTTGGCACTCTTTGGGCCCCTTGGTACCAATTGAGCATCGTTGCAACGCCACAGCCTACCTGAGTATTGTTGCTGACCATGTCCATCCCTTTATGACCACAATGTACCCAACTTCTGATGGCTACTTTCAGCAGGATAATGCGCCATGTCATAAAGCTGGAATCATCTCAGACTGGTTTCAATGAGTTCACTGTACTCAAATGGCCTCCACAGTCACCAGATCTCAATCCAATAGAGCATCTTTGGGATGTGGTGGAACGGGAGATTCGCATCATGGATGTGCAGCCGACAAATCTGCGGCAACTGTGTGATGCCATCATGTCAATATGGACCAAACTCCCTGAGGAATGCTTCCAGCACCTTGTTGAATCTATGCCACCAAGAATGGAGGCAGTTCTGAAGGCAAAAGGGGGTCCAACCCGTTACTAGCATGGGGTACCTAATAAAGTTGCCGGTGAGTGTATAAGGCAGAAAGTTAACATGTTGCCCTAAAAGTTTTGTTAGATCAGTAAATAATACACAGTTTGTGACAATTTCTTCACGGTTAAATAGTGATTGCTAGACTTGGCCAGAACATCTCCAGCTACTAATGTTCCAAGTCTCCAGTGGTCGCTGCATATCAAAGGGCGTCAGTGGAAAGAGCCATGGTGAAAAGGCAGCAGGGTCATATGTGAACATGCTCAAAGCACATAAGAAGATAATGAAGAAGTTCTAGTACAAATTGTTAAATGGTTTAAAATTTTAATCTGTGTTCCTCCATCAGGTGATGGATGAAAGTAGTCTGGTCTGATGACTCCCGCTTCTTTATACAAGAATTTGATAATTAAGTAAACATAGAACACTCTTGGATCAATTAGCTCCAGGATGGGCAATAAAAATATGCTAATTGACACAGGCAGGGTGATGCTTTGTGAAGTCTTCTGCTAGAAAAAAAAAATTGTTAATGTCAATCATGTGATGCTAAAATTCTAATTATATCTTTATTGCACTATTTTCCATATAAGAATGACCCCCTATGGTTTTATAATATAACTGCAGCCTTTACTCAGAGGCTTCTTGATCAGATGACCGAAAAATTCCAAGAACATGCATATGTACAGTGAGACAAATAGATCATTTTGATTACACAACAGCAGCATTGCACTCATTAAAGAAACCCAGAGTTCTGTCACATTAATAATTGCAACCCATTGGTTTGGTCAAACAAAGTTTGATCTTGCCGATTTGTATTAATCTTGCTGATTTGAATTCAGAGTAATAGGAATCGTTTGGAATGTGTCAGCCTGCTGTTCCCGTTACCCTGGAAAGCCCCGGGACATTTAGCCTGAGTCCTGTGACTGGCAGTAATAATAAAACTTGCAACTGGTCAGTTTCCTTGCTTCATCTATACGATTAATTTCAAATAATCACTATAACACAGCTTTTTTAATGATAGTAATAACCAGGTAAATCTAATAAGTACACCACAAACAAAATGCTTCAGTCAAAATATTTCTAATTAAAGATATTCCACATTTTAAGGGATTAATACCCTAACTTTCTAGACTGTAGTTACTATGAGGGACATGGATCTCTAGGCAGTATCCAGCTCATTATCTCTCTGTTCTTGTACCAGTGTAAACATTAAACCATAAAAAAGTAAAACATCTTCCATCACGCTTTATCCCAGCTGGGGTTGCGAGGGGTGCTGGTGCCTACCTCCAGCTATCTGTGGGCGAGAGGCGGGGTACACCCTGGACAGGTCCCCAGTCCATCGCAGGGCAACACAGAGACAAACAACCATTCATGCACACATTCACACCTAAGGAGAATTTAGAGAAGCCAATTAACCTAACAGTCATGTTTTTGGACTGTGGGAGGAAGCCAGAGTACCCGGAGAGAACCCATGCATGCACAGGGAGAACATGCAAACTCCATTCAGAAAGACCTGGGCCGGGAATCGAACACACGAGCTTGTTCTACAAGGCAGCAGTGCTACCATCTGCGCCACAGAGCAGCCCAAAATGAAAACATATGGATAAAAATGATGATAACGCTAATTTGATACAATAACAATAAAAAATTATGCTCACAGAACTTAAATCTGCTAAATATGTAGTAATAAACAGAAAAACTCCAAAAAAAGAGAAAAACAAATGAAGTACAGTTGATAAAATGCAATATTGTGTAGTGTAAAACAGACCTAGGACTTACCCTACTATACAAGAACTGTTGAAATGAAGCTGTTAGAATAAAGACCTCTATTCAAAACAGTTGATGGGTTTGGATCAAGCTGCTGCATTGCACATTCAAACCGCTCACCTTCAGCAAATTTTCCCTCCTTTTGTACGTTTGATTGCTGATAAACGTATAACAATTTACCAAAATGTTAGTTTCCAATTTGCAGACACCAAGAACATGTGAATATAAGAAAAATATGTTGTTTAAGTTGGTGTCAAATTTATTTTTTTTACATTTGAAAGATGTAACACAAATATTGCAATTTTGTGCTATAAATTATAATAAAATGGAAAAAAAAAATGTTTAATTTGTTGGCATGGAGACTGTTGACAGCTACTGTATAGTACTGCTGGAAAGTGCCAACATCCAAATCAGCATATGTTCTTAATTTTTTTTTCCCTGGGAAGGTTAGCATCCACTCTTTCCAGATCTGTAAATAGACCTCCTAAGTAGTAGCTTAAAAAGAACAGTATAAGGCACTTAAATAAATACCATTAAATAT